GGCGATGCACCGAAAAGCAATATCCGCGGGAAGTCGATCTATCCTAGATTCTAGCCAGGAGAACGAGAATTCGGTTCGGTCAGAGAAGCGAAAAAATGGCGCCTCGATCGGATGGGGGAAATGAAACGTAGCTTCGCCCGACCGGGGCAACACGTTGCTTCGTGACATTTGTGATTTTATTGAATCTAACCCCGCCGACCCCACTGATTGGGAGCCTGTTTTCGAGTAAAGTTATGAGCACCACGGTATCGCGACAGAAAAACGAACAATAGAAAGGCTTTAAGGTGGGGGGTAACGTACCACGAGCACCAACTACGATTTTACGACACCACTCTATCTGCATATTCCGTGGTGGTTCTGGCTGGGGTCGTGTATTTCGTAAATTATGTGCAGTTTACGAGCAGCCCGCGATGCAATAATAGGCCGCCCTTGCCGTAAAAACCTTGTTGAGTCGTTCAATTTCGGTACATACAACTACCATCCGGAAAATGAATACACCAGTCTCGGGAGCAGCCTAGAAACTGCTGAGCAACGAATGTCGAAATTATAGCGTTATATATATTTGCCCGTTATATTTACTTTTAGTCGCGTTTAAGGCTACCTTTATGTACATGCTCTAGAAACAACCCCCACAATCAACCACGTTTTACTCTGCGAAACATTTCCTCTCGATCGTTACGCGGTCTTCGTCGCGTACGATTCAATACGCTCGTCGAGGTTGATGTCTCTTTTTAATTCAGATCCATTCGTGGCGTTGATTGCGGCCGGATAAAACAAATATGAGATAAAAGCACTATTTCATTTCACGGTATGAAAGCGGAATTAACCGAATTGTCGCGAATTTCGTTGATGAAAGGATTCGTCATCATTGGTTACAGTGATTTCAACATTCGAGCGACGAAATCGGTACCACAAATTCACAGTAGATAGCAATAAACAGTAATTGGGGATGATAGTTATCAAGTTTGTAACTAACTTTTGTTCCTGTTTACGTTTGTGGGATATTGGTAAATCGTGATGAATTGTGGAAAATCACATCCCTTCTCGTTCGTTTCCCGTCTCTTTTCCACCTTCCAATCTTTTCAGTAGTCGCCAGTCTCCGTAAGAATTCAGGAAACGTCCAATAGGGTGCAAAAAGGATAGGCTCGTAGTCAGACGATGGAGAGACGTTTAAGGAACGATGGCTCCGGGGGATTCAAGCGTCACTCGTCAGCCAGTCGTACGAAGATTAATGTTTAAATTGAAAACGCTCCCCGAATCCCAAGTGAAATCCGACCTTAATCGGTCGCCCTCACCCTTTCTCCGAAATGCCCCGAGAGTTACAGTGGAACGTTCGACCGATAGTAAACAGAAAATCATCCGAGCGAGGTTTACCCTGGCTCGGTTCTATTCCACACCTACGTGTCCGTGTGTATGTGCACGCGAATCTGTGTACGTATGTCGATTCGATGCGTGACAGCTCGCGCATCCGGTGACGTGCATTCACCGAGGCTCCGTTCAAAATTTTCAATCGCACCCGGCCATTATCCTCGATCTTACGGTACATGATTTGGAATTTTGACGAACCATATTCGATAGTATTGGGAAAACAATAGACCACCGTATTGTTCTTATCTAGGCTTCCTACCCTCTCTAGTGATGTCAAAAGACTGTGGAGGACCATGCACCCCTAAGTAAGACCTTAGATTTGATATCAAAGGCAGATTCCGTGAAACTACGTAGGGTACGTCCGCTTTAACGATCTGTCTACCGTTGTACAGACACCTGGTAGCAGTTTCGTAAGACCCAGAGGTAGTAAGTCCGTTGTGAGAACAGTTCCCTTTGCACTGACTTTTTTTCCACCGTACGGATATAACCGGTGATCGCGAAACGAGGTCGGTACTATGGGGGGTAGTATAACAAAGTCGGACTGCTTTGTGGGCCACTCGCGCGGCACGCAAAAACGCGGTCGTCTTTTCGCGAGAGCGACTTTTATGGGATTACAACCACAGCGCAGTTCGCCTTTCTCCGGGAACTAATACAGCCGCCATTGAAAAACCCGCGCGCCAACGAAACAACGTCCCCAACCACGGGAATTCTTGATGCTATTGCGGCCACCACGATTGAAAATAACGTGACAGATCAAAAGGACTTCCTCTATCGATTACACAACCTGTCTGCCAAAATGTCCCCACAGAAAACCAACCCCGTACGTAGATACTGATTATTATTATTCAACGACCCAATAACAACTTAACTAAGGGATCACCGAGCTTGACCGTTATGCAAACCGCGAAATAAACGGTTACCGTTTTTATGCAGCTGGAAGTTTGAATGGTTCCGTCCGCCTTCTACATTCCGACCGCACGAAGCTCCACAGAACACGGGTAGGCCATTTAGCGCGCTAAGTGGTTAGGGGTTAGTACCGTGTCGAAAGCGCGGTACACGGCATACAGATCGTGGAAAAGTGGTCCCACGTATGGTCCCTGTTTCCCTTTTACAGCCGTTAATGGTGTCTTTTTCGCTGTGGTCCGCGAACACGGAGGCCCACAAATTTTATCAAATAGCGGGAAGTACATTTCCATGTGACGGTAACGGAGATCTGAGCACGATCGGCGCGTCGCCTTTCCCCCTTTCTGCTTAAGCTCCCGGATGTACATTTATAATTTAAACATAAACCAAACTTCGCGGCTGCCCTATGGTCTAGTTTCGGTGGCTGGTGCCTCAAATCTCAAGTTACCTAACTGATAGCTTAAGAAGTAAACTTGTTGGCTGGTGCATTAGAGTCTGAACCCACTGACTCGCGGCTTGAGGTCTAAAGTAACCAATTAGTAAGTTTCCAGCTATACTTATCTTACGCTTGTTACCTACTCAAGTTGACTTTGGACCCACTAGTATCTCAGGACACTATTTTCGCATATGATAGTGATGCTTCCAAGTAAAAGTCTCCTCGTCCCCTATCAACAACTTTTATCGATATCTGATGTGTGGACCGTTCCAGTTAGTGGTTGGAAAACCTCCTATCAACGGGGCAGCCGACGAGAGGGCTTCTGAATCAATTCTTTTGCTCGTCGTACCTCATTTGTATTCATGAAGGATAATTGATTACGTTTGACAGTTACTATACGCAAACGTATGGACTTCTCTTTGCGCGTCGGAAGTGTTACCGATAGCCACAGATATATCGAGCGCCGGTTGGCCCGCAGATTGCACCGATGATCCATACGATGGTGTGACAGATGCAACGGGACGAGGCTCGAGTCCGTACCCTACGTAGTCGGCATACATAATTCCGCGATTGTTATTGCAGGAAATCGCCGCATTCAGAATGTGTCTCGCACGGAAACCCGCGTATCCCGGCTACGCAGTACGCCGGAAGATCACTATTTATGCGACGCATTAACAGCCTCGGGTCGTCTCTAACCGGCAACACATCCGCGAAAAACAGAAATTATTTCACCGCGGCTGTTGAGGCACGAGAAATCCTGTTTACGGGTCGGTTTGATTAACGAATGGGAAGTGACGAATGGTGGACCGTAATTGGGACACAAAAGCGCTAACCGTGACCTAGATAAAATTCCGGGAGAAGCGCAATTTAAATGTTGCACCAAGTCTGTTCTAAAGCAATTATTCATACAACGCTCAAACTAACTAAATGGATAGCAACACCAAGGTTGGATTTCAGTAAAAATAATAATTATTACTGCTAACCTGATTCCCTATTAAACACAATGATTGCACTTATAAGCAAAACTTTTCGTTCAACTGATTTCTTATACATGAAATCTGCTCCGCGAACTTACTAACGAGAAACAGAACCCACCCGTGGCCGACTAGCGGCGAATATTCGAACTGTTTTTCGACCGACAGCTTCTGATCGTGTTCATACACGACTAGGTGTTTGGAAAATTCGTTACTGGCTACTAACAGAATCAGTATGCACGCGTGAAAAAATAATAACGGCAGCGTACTATGCGAAGGAGACGAAAGAAGGGAAAACAAACAAGCAGCGCGTGGACTGAATCGTGCGTTTCCGGTATATCAAAGCCGGACGCCAGACAGACGGGAACTCATTAGGAATCATCGACAACGACGCCGCGGGTGACTATTTAACTGATCCTCTTGATAGGATGTTTCCTTGCAAAATTATTAGCAACGGATCGAGCCGGCGTGCGCGCAGCGGAAACGCGTGTTAAGATCACGCGGTGGCACTCCCGTTCTCTCTTCCGGCTTTGCTCACGATCCACCCTGCATCGTCTGAGTAATGTTTAATTACCAGAGGCTGGGGTACAATACCATAACTAAATATTCACCATTTTCTGTTATGTTCTAATGTTATACGATCGAATGGGCATCGGTTGTTTACGGTGCTTCGAGGCGAGGACAATTATAGTTACTGGCTCAACGTGACAAACTGGAACATTTCACGCTACTCGAAAGATTCGTAATTTCCGAAGACGTCAAGGAACAGACGAGGACTGACGTTATCGTTGAGCTAACAAGAAGATTATTAAATCGCAGCCGCGTTGCGCAGGCGTCCGGCCTCGTTATAATTAAAAGACGGAGGACCAAGACGTCGTAATGACAGTTCCTCGAATCTTCTTAATGTTTTCCGCTTCGATGACGGGTAACGAAGGCAGATAAGAAAGAAGTAAAAAATGTCGTGGAAGAAGTAGACAGTACTCTTATTACGCGGAGAGGAGGGATTCATTATAGTCTGAATTGCTGCATCGATCGCTATAATTGACCGACTGCGAGACATTTCACGGATCCCTCCACTTAAAAATATAACGCGTATCGTCGTCCAAGTAATATCGTCTCTTAAATCAAATTCACCGCGCTCCATTAACACTTTCATTTCGATGATGCGACATCAATAGACGTAGAAATGAAAGTGTCAATGACCAAGCAGATCGTAATGAATTATATTTAAAAGAATTCACGAATTGGTTGCTCGTTCTATTGTTTCAGCGGGGTCCACCCTCACCACGGACGGTTGTAGCGACGAATGCAGTGCCAGGATGACGCGAGCGTTGGAGCGATGGCGAAGACGGTCTCAGGCCGCGGCCCAACACGCCCTCAGGCTGATCTTACAAATTCTACTGATACAGAATTTCGCTACCGCCCAAATAGCCAAGTGTCCGCCCCCCGAGACTATTCCAGGCTGTCCTTGTTACAATATTGAGGATGGTTTTTTCCTAGAATGCGCTGGCGCCACGGAAGAGACCCTGAGGACCACTCTGGAGGGCGTTCTGAGAGTAGGCGGTGAGTACGCGAGCTTCGAACGTAATGCAAACGCCGAGTTGTCGACATAAGGATAATGCAACTTCCGTCGTGAAAAAAAACTTTTTCGATACAACGTCGCGGCGTCCAATTTTCATTTATTAACGAAACGACCCACCGGGTTACGCTGGAATACGGTAATAACGGGAGAGATTGTTATTATAATCTGGATAACGGCGCCATGTTTGTTTCGACGCGTAGAATGGAAAATTAATTAGCGTTTAATGGCTCGCTTTGGAGCGAGGACGGATAAACGTTTCTCGTTCTTAACGAGATACCGTGGATCAGGGAAACGTCACTCCGCGCGCTGAACAAATTGAACGCGTTTGATTAAGCTTCGAACAAAACAGCGTATTAAAAGTGTAATAATACGCGGTCTCGTTAGCGGCCTAATGGTTCCGTCAATAATACTAACCCCGTCGGAGTGTTATATAATTCTCAAATCAGCTTCGTAACATTTACACACGGCTAGCCTCTTCCAAGAATTCATTATCTTTTACGTCGTCTATAAAATCCACGACGAGCATTCGGTCGACCGACGCAGCGAAATCTAAGCTTCGCGTTATCGCAGCTTAATGAAATTAATGGCCGTGCCCTTTACGACCGTTTCCAGGGGCTGGTACAATCGTGCAGTCGTTGAGCGTTTACGAGCTGGACAAAACCGTGGAGGAATTGAAAGACGGCTGTTTTCCGCGGGGCTCTCAAATCAGACACCTACAAATATCCCATTCGTCCCTGCGCGAAATAAGCGAGGGCGCGTTCGTGAACCTCAAGGACAGTTTGGAGTCGTTGGCTCTGGTATCCAGCCGTTTGTCGCACGTGCCGCAGAAGTCGTTGGCCGATCTGCGAAACCTGGTCGCGCTGAACCTCGAGGCCAACTTGATACAAGACCTCTCGTCGTTTTGCTTCTACGGTCTGAAGCTTATGAAGCTGACGCTCAAGGGCAATCAAATATCAAAAATCTCGGAATACGCGTTCGCTGGTTTAGAGAATAGTCTTAGCAATTTGGACCTGGCCGAGAACAAGCTCAAAATGTTCCCGATGGCGCCGCTGAGAAGACTAGACATCTTAGCGTCGCTGAGGCTCGCCTGGAACGAGATATCAGAACTGCCGGACGACAAGTACAGCCTGCTGACCTCGTTGCTGATCCTGGACTTGAGTAGCAATAACTTCGAGAAGTTAGCCGAGGATTGCTTCAGGTCTTGTCCCATTTTACACACGCTCTCGCTTTATTACAACTCGATAGAGACCATTCATAAGGACGCGTTCGTATCGCTCAAAGACCTGGAGTCTATCGATCTCAGCAACAATAAGATTGTGTTTCTCGATATAGCCACGTTCAAGGGGAACGAAAGACTGCGCACCATCGAATTGAGTCACAATCACATCCACTACATCGGCGGCGTTTTCGCGAGGCTGCCAGAGCTCAGGGAACTGTACCTGGCGGAGAACAATATTCTGGAAATCCCCGGAGACGCATTTATTGGTAGCGTCAGCTTGGCGGTCGTCTACCTTCAGCAGAATGCCATTAGAAGAATCGATGGGAAGGGTCTGACTAGTCTCACGCAATTGGCCCAATTGTACCTTAGCAACAATTACATCGAAAAGGTGCCGCGGGAGTTCCTCGAGCATTGCGAGAATCTCTCTTCCCTGTCCCTAGACGGCAACAAGATCCGCGAGCTTCAACCGGGCACTTTCCTGAAATTGCATCAACTGAGGGAGCTGCGTCTCCAAGACAATCACATCATCGAGGTGAAGCGCGGTGTTTTTTCGCCGCTACCGTCGTTGCTGGAACTCCATTTGCAGAACAACGCCATCACCGACATGGAGACTGGCGCGTTGAGGACGCTCAACAGCCTCCAGCACGTTAATTTACAAGGCAATCAGCTGACAGTTCTGGGCGACGTGTTCCAATTGTCAACATCCGAGTCGTCTTCCGGTGGCAGTTCTTTGGTGTCCATTCAGCTGGACAGCAACGGGCTGGCGGTGTTGCACAACGACTCCCTGCGCGGACAGGCTTCCGTCAGGATCATGTGGCTAGGTCACAACAAACTGACGCATCTGCAGGCGCCACTCTTCAGGGACTTGCTTCTGGTAGAGCGGCTCTATTTAACCAACAACTCGATATCCAGGATCGAGGATGGTGCCTTCCAGCCGATGCAGGCTCTCAAGTTTCTGGAGCTGAGCATGAACAAACTCAGTCACATCACCGCGAGGACGTTCTCCAAGTTACACAAACTCGAAGAACTGTATTTGCAGAACAATGGTTTGAGACGATTGGACCCATACGCTCTGACAGCCCTGAAGAAACTCAAGGTGCTGGACCTGGCCAACAATCAACTGACCGTCTTGCACGACGCCATGTTTCAAGAAGATCTGCCGATCGAGACGCTGAATCTGAAGAACTGCTCCATCGTGAGCGTAGAGAGCAGCGCTTTCCGTGAGCTGAGCAATCTGTCGAACCTGAACCTGGAAGATAATCTTCTTACAGCGTCTGCCTTATTGTATCTGCATATTCCTGGGCTTAGCACTCTTGCCGCATCCGGTAACAACTTCAGCCAGATCTCTGAGCACAGTTTAAACGGGCTGCCGTCCTTGCAGGAGCTGTTATTGGACCAGGCACAGATTTCTCAGCTGCCGGAGACCATCTTCGTCCTTAATCGGAACTTGGCGCGCCTGCATCTGAACAATAACTATCTTCGTAGCCTCCCGCCAGGTATCTTCGATAGGCTGTTGTCTCTTTCGAAAATTCGATTGGACTATAATCGGTTTCTGGACATCCCGTACTCCGCGCTGGCCAGTGCTCTCAATCTGGAGATCCTCACTCTCTCCCACAACGAAATCGCGAACGTGGACGTGGCCAGCTTCGCCAGTTTAAAATATATGAAGGAATTAGACCTCAGTCACAATCGGATAGAGACGATGTCCGGCTTCGCCATGGCGAACCTGTCGCGTCTGATCTCCGTGGACCTGAGTCACAATCATCTAAATGCCCTTCCGGCCAATTTCTTTGCGCACTCGTCCATGTTGCACAAGGTGGACTTGTCCGAAAACAAGTTCAGACAGATCCCAGCTGTGGCGTTGTCCGGCCAAAACCTTCCCGCGTTGCGTTGGTTGAACCTTACGAGAAATCCACTCAACAGAATCCACGATCTTGCCTCGGAGGCTATGTACCCTATCCTCCAAGAAGTCCACATATCTGGCACCAACTTGAGCATAGTTACGTCTCAGGACTTTGAAGCATTTCCAGCTTTGCTGCATCTGTTTTTGGGTCAGAATGGCATCCTGAGGGTATCGCCAGGTGCATTCAGAAGCTTGCCCAATCTTTTGACGCTGCATCTTGGAATGAACAGCTTGGAGATCCTGCCCAAGGAGAGACTACAGGGTATGGAGCATCTAAGGATTCTGAACCTCACCCATAATCGACTGAAAGAGCTCGAAGAATTCCCCGAAGACCTAAAATCGCTTCAAATACTGGATCTTTCGTACAATCAGATCGGAATCGTGGACAAGGTGACGTTCAAGAACTTGGTCAGCCTGGTGGAATTGCATCTCTACGGGAATTGGATTAACGCCATCTCTAGCGAAGCGTTTAGACCTTTGAAAAAGCTACGACTATTAGATCTGAGTAGAAATTACCTGGAAAATCTACCGCTGAACGCGTTTCGACCCCTGGAGACACAGATACGGAGCTTACGCGCTGAAGGTAATGTTCCCTAATTTATTTACACCTAGGATATAGTGTAAACACGCCGAGGGGCTGAATTTGCTTTAGAACGACGAATGTGGAAAGCGACGCGCGTCGAAAATCGTCAAGTCATTTTGAAACATCGTCGGAAGGAACGTATGCAGCAAAGAGAAAAGCAGAGATTTTTATTAATGTAGTATCAATGTTTCGTTTGCTTGCGCGACTTTTATTCAACGAGCACGCGAGGCAGAGAGAATAACAGTGTATGTATCGAAGCTATCGATCCAAATGGAGTTACTGCTGCTGGAAATCCAATCATATCACTGGTCACGTACAATCGTCTCGAATCGATACTCAACATCGGCACAATCAAACACGCTCTGCCATTCTGTCTCATTCTCTCCTCTCGAGTCTGCAAACTAGTCCCTTACGAAAGTATAATGTCCACCACCTGCTACCCTTAATCCGCCCCAAAAGATTTTCAAATTTAGCAGAGGACACCGTGAACACGCGTCGCTGTCCACGTGCTGCTTTCTATATCAATGTTTCAATGGCTTCAGATTTTAACAGCGCACGATTAGACTTTGTTAAATTAATTCCGTGTGAAATAACGAACGAGTAAGCGTCCAGTCAATTAATTTTAGAGCAGACGCCCTGGTATTTTCTCATCCAGGTTATCGATTACATCAACAGGGAAAATACAACCCTCTCTAACTCGATCGTTCCGTTGATGTTCACAGAGAATCCGTTACATTGCGGCTGCGAGTCGCAAGAACTCTGGGAATGGTTGAGGGACCATCAGAAGCTGGTTAGCGGAGTAGGTGGTGGTCGCGGTCGCGGAAGAAACGGCGTCGGGGTCGGAGATGTCGAGGGCGGTCTACTGAGATGCGAGCAGCCGCCGGAGCTTCGGGGTTTGGTTTTCCTCGATCTCGACCCTCACGCTTTCTGCTCTGCTCCGTTGGTCCTGAAACTCGCGATTCAGGACATCCAGCCGTTTTCTGTACTCGTGTCCTGGCAGAGCAGAAACCATTCCGGTCTGCATGGCTACCAAGTGGCCTACCATGCGCTGGACAATGTCGACGAGGTGAGTCCTTCGATAAAACCAACTCTTAGAAATAGTTAATTGGTCAATTAGAGTAGTCTTGATAGTAATTTGTAAGTTGAACATTTAGTCGCGCGTGAAAGACGATGTTCGAAAAAATATGAAATATCTGATGGTGTACGAAATTCATGTCAAGTTACGTTGTTTACGTTTCAGGTACGAGGCAAGCTACTTGACCCGAAGGCACGTTCGGTGAGGCTGACAAAATTGGCCTCGGACACCCGGTACTTGATTTGCGTTCTCGGTCTGGGCAGCTGGGGCACGCCAATCCCGGAAGACATCGGTTCTTGGCAATGGAATGCCTCTCACGACGACGTGATCGAGGGCTCTGCCCTTCCCGTGATGGTCAATTCACCCACGAGCCTCTGTACGGAGGTCAGAACCCTGGACGCGCCGGACTCGATAGTGGGTGACGGAACGATGAGCGATAGAGGAGGTTTGGCGAGCATCCTGACGAGGAGGTTGGGCCTAATAGTCGGCAGTTGCATGGGCTTTGTCGTGTTCGTGGTCCTGATCTCTGTGTTGGGCTACATGAAGATGAAGAAACAGAGGTCCACGGAGAAGAGGGATCAGCCTCTAGCCTCGAACCCGCAGACCTACATGACCTACAGACACTACTCGCTGCAGAGCGGCGACAGAGCGGACAACGCTTGCCCTAGCTTCATCAGCAATATCGGCACCACGCCTCTGAACTCGTAGCACAAACCGAAAGAGTCTCGCAAAGAGGCTGATCATCGTAGCATCGAGATGAAGAGCGCTCCCGGCTGCGTGGGTATCTTTGGATGAGGACCCGGACCAGCGAACACGCCGAAGAACGTCAACAACTGAGGCCCCGTTGTCACGTGCCAGGTTTCGTTTCGTTCTTCGAGATTCACCCTGGAGGTGCGGGCGTCCAGTCCTGGTGATAGACTGATTTCACTCGTAGAGGTAGCTAGGACGAACGATTTCAGAATGAATTCTAACGTTAACGAATCAACGCTGGTTTTGATTAAGTGCCAAAAACTGATACGCGTAGATCTTGACCAGGACACAGCGAACTAGTTTGATCCGTCGATCTGCCCGAAAGGTAGGTTCCAAGTGTCAGTGAAAGACAAAAGCCATTACTCGCGTGCCAAAAGTTCTACAGACTCGATTCACAGAGCCAAAAAGTCCATGAAGGGACTCGACGGTATTGCTCAGTCGACCGATTGTCTGTTATCGAACAGATCCTCCGACCATTTACGAGAACCGAACAACGACATAAAGGATCCCTTTTTGGAACAATTCGAATCTACTCCTACGAAGACTGATTTTTTAATGCCGTTTCCCCCTCATAATTTCGACGCTCATATTGTATGTACGATACCGTCACACACTTTCTTTGTAAATAATAGCGTACGAAAGCTGTCGCGACTTAACGATGTTCGTATTGACGCTCGTATATTCCGAGAGGAAACTCGACCTCTTAATAGTGCTGCGCAAGCAATATTACACTTACTCGTATCGATAGTCCCAAAACGATCAGCACTAAACTTAATTAAGAAGTGGTCTTTTAGAAGACTCGATGTTTCTTTCTTTTTTTTTTCTCTCACAATCTCTCTTTATCTTTCTCTATCTCTCCATTTCACTCTCTGTAAGCGACCACCACCGAAAGATCCGGAAGCCGGCGGTCTCGTCTTTGTAACGGAAACCGCCGTGTCCGATCATCCGGGAACCAGAACTTCTCGAATCGCGACTGATTAACGCGTGACTCCTGCCAAGAAATGAGAACAGAGAATCGATTTCGAGTTGCCAAATGTTACACGGTGACGTTGTGGAAGATGGATTTATTGTATATAGATAGAAGATATGTATACACATAGCATTCTTTATTATAGACTAGGATTTCGGTTAATAAAAATACACCAAAGCTACGAATCCATTGTCTCCTTTGTTGCTCCACGAGTTTTCTTCCCCGTTTTCAAGGTGCAAGATATTTTTTGGGGATCTCCACTAAGTCATCGCTGGTCATTGGATAACGCATGGTAAGAAAAAATTCTAATTTTATGTACTTGACAACTCATTCAACGCGAGATTCGAAGCTTACACGGCCAATTACTCTATGTAAATTCCCTAACTACATTTAAGCTATGGAGCCTGGCTTGACAGGGTCAAAGACACCTGATGCTGAGGCTTGATTTACATTAGCGGTTCGATCACATTGCTGACAGCCTGAACACGGCTCAATCAGATGATACTCGACTATCTGGAATGTTCGAAAGGTTATGCAAACTCTATATGACATGTACGACTAAAACGCGATCTTATTCAGCAAGTTAGCTTCTGTATCGATTTATCGATCACGGATGAAAACACCTAAATAGTAGAGCAGAAGTAGACACCTAACTCTTAAAGTTGATAGTAAAAGATCTCTCGAAAATCCACTCTTCGTATCGCGCAACACGAATACCAATCCGACCGATATTCGAACCGAATGGAACTTCCGAGGGCGTATCGTAGACGATCCATTAAGTCACATCCCATACGACTAATTAATTAATTATAATGGCGAGTCGGTCCAGGCAGCTTAGAGCGAGCTTGCGGTTCGCTTAGGTTCCGTAATTAACTCCGGGTCAGGCCGAGTATATCCCAGAGCGTCAATCAGTTCCGATCTGGCACGTCGAAACCAAAACAACCCGCTCCGGGGATATATCGAATTGCTCGCTTCCAATAATGCTCGCTTGGATGCGCATCCGCTCAGCAACGATGCTACGCTGAATGATTCAACCCGCATGCGATTAGCTAACCAGGAAAACAGAGAAAACTAGAAATCGAATACCTACTCTAATCTAATCTAATGGAAAATATCACAAATATGTCGCTAGCGAAAGGTCTCGAACGATAAGAGGATCTGTAGGTGTAGCAAATTTTTCAAAATTTAAACGATTATGAACCATGTTGTCTACTCTACAGTGACAGTAATAAGTCACGATGAAACTTGAAAGAAATCCCAAGTTTTGAAAATATTGAGCAATGCTCGAATCGATATCGGGTCTGGGTTAGAGATATAATTAGCCACGAAATATTGCTAATAAATATTGTTCTGCGTTCGTTGTTCTTTGAGAGAGGCAGTGCTGTGTATAATGGAGAGACGAGTTGACACATTCTGATTGGATTTTGTCGAAAAGCACGCCCGCGGCATTGTCGATTGAATTAACCCGAGCTACGTCGACGAAGAACCGGCCACCGTGCCAGTATATGGGATTAGCATGAAAGCAGCCTTGATTCAAAGCTCGCGAGAAAAGATCCTGGCAAAACCAGTCCATTAATAGAGCCCCGGACTCGGCTCGCAATTACGAAACGTAATTAACTCCGAGAGTTCGCGTAGCAGCCATATGTCAGATATCTCCGTTTCGCGGATCTGTCGGAAACATAAATAATAAAATTTACAGAAACAGGAATTCGTAGCTCGAGTTAAACATCACGAATAGCGACGTAATACCGTGTACTTTATCGTAAATCTGCTACTTTTGCAAAGATTTTTCATTGAAAATGAGGCTCTAACCGTGCGTCACGTATTACATATCCTTTTTCTAGACTGCAATAGTACAATGACATGTTTGAAATCTCAATGACCGAAGCAAATTCCGAACTAGGTACAGCAATCTCTGCCGAACATCAAATTGTAAATCGCTCTCTATGTTATGGAAGACCCCAAACTCTGTTATCAGTCTTCACGCCCTCTCATTATACTATTCCATCTGGTACCTATTGGTAAACCCTACAGAATACTAGGTGCTACAAGGGGCCTTCGAATTCTAAGCACGGCTATTAATAAGGAGCTATCCGCTGCGAGGACCGGTTACGGACAGTAAGCACCGCCACCAGCGGCTTATACCTGTGTTCGAATAAATTGGACTCCCGCGAGGGAGGGTAAACTGTATTACAAATGTCTGACAAAACAAATTTAAAGTCAGAAAGTTAGTCTCGCCGATTCTCTGATCCGTAACCTCCATCGTAGATCGAATAAAATTGAAAATTTAAAGAAAACTAATACGTGAACTAATCAATTGCATATATCCGAACGCACGCTGATGCATTAAGCGAGGCAATACTGCACGCGCTCGTGTAACTCGCGTACACCGTCGGTCCAGAAGCGTGATCAGGGTTAGAAATATGTAACTGATTGATTACTCACTGATCAAAATTATGGAAACCTAACAACGATGTCGCGAACAACATCTTTGAGATTTACGATCGCGCGAGCCCGTTGAACGCCACGGTGCCGTGCATTTTCATGCTCGGCGTTAATAAACGATAGAACGATTTACTTGCCAGCTCTGGCCATTCCTCGGTTCAAGCGACGCGTTATAAATAATGGCCGCATCCATTGAGCCCTCTCCTCCGTTCCGGCCGCAGCTCGTGCAGCCCCATTGTTAACCTTTCGCTCCGTAGACCGGCCCAGCGGCGTGCAGTTTCCAAGTGCACCTATTAATAAGGAGCGCAGCACGCCGTTAGAGCGTGCAGTGTAACTGCACTCCTAGCAAGATACCAGGCCGGCTACGAACACCGCCAGAGAGAAAAGGCTTGGGCTCTATAGCAACGACGCAGTCTGTAACGCTGCACTCTCGAGGAACTTGCTACAGAAGCAATTGTATTAGACTCCGTATCCACGTCTCGCCGCACGGGGCACAACGTACAGTATCCTTTTTCTCATCTTCCGCTACCCCATCACCCCTTCCTCGTCCATGTTTCGCCCCTATCTTTTCCTTGCTTCCATTGTTTCCTCGATTCTCTTGCTTGTTCAAAAGCAAGAACCTCCTGTGTTGAATGTGTACGCGTCTCGGAGCGAGACGCTGAAGAATTGGAATTTTTTGCGCTCTTGGCATTTGATAAATCACGAATACAATTATCATTTTTGGTACTGAGTTTCCATGAAACTTCGCAGGCTTGTACAACGGTAAGAATAAATGTTGCGTATTTCTTTAAGGGCGATTATTCGAGCCTAAGGGGCGGAAGTACCCCCCAAAGCTTCAAATTTTCGATGAAAAGTTTGTTCACCGGGTCGTTCAAACTGCAGGAACATAAATATTGATTCGTTGCGTTATATCGAGGGACGAATACGACGTTTTAACGAGGGAATGTTCAGACTGTATCGAAAACTTTTGAATATTCCGGTTAAAAAATGCACCACAAAAAGGGAGAAAAACTCGAGGACATGTTTACGCGCAATTGCGTGAGAAATTGAACGCGTAACCCAATATGGTGCGCACCGCACGCAAGGCCCGTGAAAATTAATGCGTCGCGCATTATTTTCGCAAAGCCCTGTAAAAGCGAACAACCTATACGTCGTCCAACCAGTAACAAATAATTAATATTTATTCACTATTTGCTGGAAAATAAACATGTCCCGCGGCGCGGCGTTTACGAAATCGCCATACGCGTTCCGAGGCGCGATTTCGACATCGTCGGACTCGTTGCTTTTCATGGCACAAAATAATTTTTCATCGTCAGTCTATTAAATATTTCTTCATCAGATTTTTTCATTATTACCAATGATTATATGTGAATGAAAAATTCGCAACGAAGCGCGGCGAAAAATAAGGTTATCGAGCCTAACTTCGGTGATAAAACGTAACCCCAACTTTTACGATAATATGGGCTATGTAGACCGTATTCGTTAAAAAAGATTTAAGGAAATTGGTCGTTTTCGAAGATCGTTTCACAACTTTTCGAGACATTTAGATAAGCTGGCAATTATATTCGAAATGGAATTGGCGGTACGGTCGTTCCAGCGGATCAAAGACCAACCCAAAAGGACCGAGACAAACGCTCCCGGAATTCACGCTCTTTGTGAGAGTTAAAATTCCTTCGGTCGCGATTAAACGTTGATCTGTAATGGCAATTGACCAGAGTCCGGAGCAGCGTAATGCCCGTTGACTACCGTAATCCCCTTTCCTACAATACGTCAAACATCGATAACGTTAATCGCGCTCTTCGAAAGGTAATCGCGCTACAAGCGATAACTGCTGCGAACGTTTCGATAGTCTAATTTTACGGTCGGCCCGATCTCGTTAGAATAATGCCCGGCAGGCAGCGCGATAAATCCACCCGTGCGTATTATAATGGATTAATATAATTCAATAAAATGGACCGGGGGCATGGCTACCGATTAATGCAGCCCGTTGACATTCCCATGCGTTACGATGACTGCGCGCGACTCGGATAACGACGAATAACGCCGTAGCGCGCCGCGACCACTCGTTACAATAACTCCATTATGCGCCGCCAATATACAGCGTTGTTCGAGCTCATTTCGACGCGCTGGGAAGGGACGTTTCAGGGACAACCAACAATGAAGATATACGCGCGCTACCAATAATAATGTTACTGCCTCGGGTAATTGCATCCACGATGCTTGTTGGCTTGATTTTTTACCCAACTTTGGTTACCTTGTAGACCATTATCATCAAAACCACCCAAATGTATTATCTGTCCACGATTTTCTGAATTTGCGAAGCATTTAACCTTCCGGAAGTCACCATACATTTCCTATGACTCGCTCAAGATTTTCTCGCGGGGCAGTATACACTTTCCGTGGGGCACGCCAGATTTTCCGTGGTTCATCCAGATCTTTTCTGCGATACACTTTCTTCAATTCGTCGTTTTCAATCCACAAGCACGACAATATAGAAACAATGCGCCGAATATTACGCGTCCCATCGGCGAAATTCGCCGTGTCCCAGTTGAAACGATTGATTGCACTCATGCAGTCACTTTTTTCCACCATTCGTCCGCGTTTGTCGGGCACGCGTTAACCGTGCAATCGCGCGCCTAGCATCGCGAATAATTCTAGCCGTTCGCAAAGTGCATTTAATCCATTTTCATAAGCGACGTTCCGAAAATACGTCCCCAC